GTTGTTGCCAGGGTGCAGGAATCTCATATATCCTGCTCAGGACAGACAGAGTCTTGATTCAGCAGTGATGAGCTTCTCTGTCTATCTGCTATTTTACTGCACGGTTAGAGAAAAAAAGCCTTCTGGAGGGGATACCTCCTTCTACCTAAGAGGTCCCGGCTTCTCGTTGACTTGAGCTGCACAGGAACATGTGCTGCAGCCCGTTGTGTTTCTCTGGGCACCAAGATGAAGCACATAGTGACTGAGAAAGTCTGATCATGGGTAAAAAAATAAAGAGGAGGAAAGAAGCACAAATTGGCCCCTTGGCTACAAGGAGAGCTTTGTAGTCATTAAAAGCATGAATGTGTCAGCCCTCCTGAACGATTTTCCACTTTCATAGGGTACTTTGTGCATGACCAACCCTACGAGGTTGCCCCGCCGCTCCCTGAACCTCCCACTCATCCTGAAGAGCTACATCATCTTGGGGTGGAGAATTGCTGCTCAAGAACTGTGTGAGGAGCCTGTTGCTTTGGAGCAGTTCAGCAAACTGGAGTCCCCACCTGCCCATGAATCTACTTCCAGTCCTGTTTGAGACTCACTGGCTCTTTGACAAGCCATTACATGCTCATTCACTGTAAAATCCAATTTGCTTTTTGGCCTGCAGAAAGTAGGAGGCAGGACAGCCTTTGCAATGCAGCCTTTTTAAGAGCTTCAAACAGGAGAAGCAACGAGCAATGCACTAAACTGCCTGTGCTCAACCAGCCTTGGACTCAGGCTGAAGCCATGGGACTCTCGTTGCGCTGGCTGAGCAAAGGGGGATTAAGGTTTCACCTCCTCTGTTTGCATTGGAGCTTGGGACTGGATCTCATTATGGATATGCATGGCATAAATTCACTCCTACAATAACAATGAATAAAAGATAAATCCCATGGCTCTGAATCTTTCTGCATCTAATGGCTGATGTGTGTGGTTGGGAATTAGAGAGACAACCTGATATATCTGGCTGCTGAACATCTTTTGCTGTTTACCTTTGCAGAAGGAGGACTCAGAACTAAGGCTTGTGAAGTTCACTTATTGATGTCCATTAAACACTTGTGGAGCGAGGAAGCAGCAAACGAACAAAGCAGGGAGAAAAGATGCTGAGAACTTCACTGGAAACCTTGCAAACCAATGACTGCAATAAAAGTCGAAGTAGGAATTAAAAGCTATTAATTTGGAAAGCTATGAAATACACAATTTCTTCTTTACCTGCCTTCCCTGACTGAGCTTAAAGTGAACTGATTTTCTTTTTCTTTTTTTTTTCTTTTTTTTTTTAAATGCAGAAACATTTCAGAGTGCTCCTTTTCAGCTAACAAACTATAACAGTTTGGAGAGAATATAATTCTGGGACAAAGCTTTTCATCAGCTCTGTATTGAACTCCTAAGGGAACACATCATGTAAGGTCTGAGTCGTTCCAACGCTCCTGGAGAGGATTTTTCTATTGTGTGGATGCAATTTAACTGTTGCCCAGTGGTGCACTAAGGTGTCTCCTCTGTGCCCTCTCTGCAAGGTGACCTGATGCTCTTGTACATATTGCAAATAGGTGCCCAAGAAGCTCTTGCAGACCAAGATGCATGGAAGCATTAAGGTGGGTGTGTGTATCGCACATCTACTTGGAAAGCGTGTGCAAACAGGCAACTCTTCTTTGATGTGAAAATGCAACACAAGACTTACTTTGGAGAAGGTGATAGAGCAGGCAAAGTATCTATATCTGACTGCAAGATTTCCTTAGCCACCAAGGCCCCAGTGCCCCCGTTGGAAGGATTTATTGAAGGTGCAATAGCAGTGAGTAACTCCAGCCAGGGAGTACATTTCCTGTGGCAAAAGAATACATGCAAAGTCGATTTATTGAAGGTGCAATAGCAGTGAGCCAGCCAGGGAGTACATTTCCTGTGGCTAAAGAATACATGCAAAGTTGGATGCATGGTGCACATGGCTTTATGTCCCTGGTAGAAAGCTCCACATGCAAAACCCTGCTGGGGCTCACCCACTGAGCATCAGCTGGTTGGGACTCCTCTCCCACATAGGAGAACACCTTAGAGAGTAGACAGCAACCAGATCTTCAAAACCTTCCAAGACTGTAGAGTTAAGGCAAGATCTGAAGTTAAAAAGTCATGGGGAGAAGCTGTAGCTCTGGGTGTGTCAATTAAAATGTGTGAATGAGCTAGCCTTGTTGAGCTGATATTTAGAAGTGAAAGCTGTAGACTTGGAGCTGGAGGTTCTAGCCCAGCAGTCCCTGACCCCCACTTCTCTGATAGGTGAGCTTTCAAATGACTAACTGCAGGGATGACTCAGGCTTTTCACAACAGAGCTTCACACGCAGGTCTCAGGTCTGCAGAGCCTCCCCAGGGTGGTGATTTGCACCTGAAAGGTGCAGCTGGAAAAAATCCCAACCCAGCCCCAGCCCACACAGGTCAGATTTTGACTAGACGCTTCTTAAGACTGCCTTTGCTTCCAGGGAGGATCATGCACTGATATGATATTTGCACTTGCCAAGGCACAGGGCCTGTAGATCTCATCACTTTAGCTGCCTGCTCAACTCCTTATCACTTGCGTGGGCTCCGCTGTATGAAATCAATGATGAACGCCCACCGTTTCCGATAGGAGCAAGCTAGGAATGAAATAAAACACAACAGTAGCCTTTTAAGCTAGCTTTTAGCCAGCTCCCCAAGGACACAGCCAGACACACTGTCTGTGCCAGATCAGCTTCAAAGTCGTTAGCTGAGAGTGCTCAGGGCAGCCACAAATAGTCTGAGCTAATAAAAGAGCAACTTCCATAGCCGAGTTGCAAACTTCTGCCTACTCTTAGCTGTAGGAAGATGCTGTGGCTCTTCCAAGTGCCTCCTTCGGATTTGGAGCATTGGGCAGTATCTTGAAGGACTGCTGCAAATCACACCAGGGATATCCCATTCACTTTGCTCAGAAACTCTTGCAGAAACCATCACTGCCCCTTTGGAAAGCCCTTCTCTGCCATCCAGGCACTGCAAGAAGCCCAGGATAGCTTGGCTGCTACCTCTAGCTCTGCTACAGGTGTTGAGCAAGGTGCTGGTACCTCTTTGCCTCTAGCTGCTTTCCTCCCATCTGAGTATTTTGCCTATCGAAATGTACAGGAATTGCCTCTGAGTTTGGATTTGTGCTGCGCTTAACACAAGAGGCTTTTAGTTGAAGCCAGGGGCTCTCGATGCCAGTACACAACACATACTGCATTGGAATAAAAAGGGCTTGTATATGAGGAGCTGACAGATTGAAGCGAGCAGATAAAAGGCTCTTAACTCATTAATTCAAGTCATACAATATGAAGAAACATTTCAGCAATAACAGAAGTTGTGTTAGGGCCTTTTGTTGTAACAGAGATATATTATGAAATACATGCTTTTAAACTTATCAGTGGCTCCCAAACAAGCTTTTCAGGGCAGTGCAGTGTTTACTTTAGTAATGGGAAAAGCCTACTTAGGACTTGCAGATTCAATCCATATTTTTACCCTGGAGGAGCATCAGCTGATTGTTTTAAGCTTTCACAGATTTTCTGCCCAGCCAAAAATAAGGTGAGAGGAAGGTGAGAAACATGAGGATAAATTACTGAAGTTGCATCCACCCCATAAAAACAACCCTCTCTGGGGTACCCACGTGGATTATGCTGCAGATGACATTCTCACTTTGAACCAGGGATACTTGGCCAAGGTCTGCTCCAGGGGATGGTGAGCCTGGTCACCTCACCATCAGAACCAGGGATTAGCTAACCCCAGTTTTAATTTGTAGGAGGAACATTTGCAGATGTTTACCCTCTGGGTCAGCTCATGGTGCCAGGCACCAGCACAGCATCAGTGCCAAGAGCAGCACCTTACCTGTTGAGCTTCATTTCCAAATCCACCACATCCATTCACATTCCTTCTCTCAACTCCATCCCACGTTGCACAAACGCCTCCTGATACTGCACAAAGACATAAATTTTCCTCTCGCAAAACAACTTATTTGCAAGCCTCCTACTGCAACATGTCTTTCATTTGCATCAACATCCACTACCAAGCATCCCATTAACTTGTGGAAGCAGAAGGGCTTTTAAGTCAATGAGTTAAATCTGGCTACTCAGATGGCATTGATTTAAAGGGCAATGAATGTGCTAATTTTTGATTCCTTCTGCTTAAAAACACCACAAACCCATAGACAAAACTAAATCGTTCTTTTTCTTTTCAGACAAGGAAGAAAAGAAAATTAAAGGGGTTGCACTATTTTGTTGCCTCTGCTGTGTTCACTGCCTTGTTAGAGGTGGTTAAATTCTTACAGAGGATATTTTGTTAATGAGGCATAGGGCTGTTTTTTGTACCTTAAAAATATCACAGTATGCTAAATATTGGCTGTGAGAAGGCCGCAAGACCTTATAGGTAGGAATAGAAGCAAAGATTAGGATCATGAACATTTACTACTGAGGATCTGGCCCTGCCTAGGAATGGGCTTGGGCAGCCGGCATCGCTCAGTTCCATTACTTTGGTTTATTAGCTGTCCCTTTCTTATATTATCCCTGATCTTGGCCACCTCTTAGCTTTTCTGTTTTCCCCTCTTCACAGTTTCACAAAGCAATGGGCCTGGCCGACAGACACGTTTAATTAACTCTGTGGTCATGCAACTGCTCCACTACCATGGACACATTGCAAGCATTGGACTCGATCTCTGCAATAGTGATCACTTGGTAAACATTGCAACAGGTCAGCTGTAAAAACGGAAAAAAAAAGACGTGCTTAAATGGGGGTGGAAACCTCGGGACCTGTGAGACCTTGGCACCTCTGTGCCGCTCCACAGACCTGCTCCTGCAGGGACATTGGCTACAATTTATTTATCTGCACAGATGTGAATTCACTCAGGTTTCCAAAAGACTTTATTCCATTTAAAAGGAAATAACATAAAGTAGCCAGACATTTAACGCTCTCTCTGCACGGAGCTTTCTCCATAATGTGCACAGCTACTTTTTCCTTCATAGCTCTGATCACTTTGTGGTTTTCACATCTCTGATCTCCTGCAGCAGGTCAGACATTAGCGCCACGCTGACTAACAGGATCATGAAGTCTTCAAAATCCATTTTGTTCTCCGACTCCTCATCCAGGGCAGAAATTATTTCCTGGTATTTTGGTTTGTTTTCTTGGCCCTACAGAGAATTTTAATGAAGGATACTTAGCACAGAGCTCCTTTCTTCCCACCCGGATTTCCATGTCCACCTTCGCATTGGCTTTTCTTGAAACGCGAGAAACTCAACTAGAAACTGCCCGAGGAGTGGAGCCCTCTCTGCCTGTCTTGCTCACACCGAGGAGAGGGAATGAGCACAAATCCTTCCGTTCTTGATGTTCAAGGTGGGTACTTGAACATATCATAGAATCATAGAATCATAGAATGCTTAAGGTTGGAAGGGACCTCTAGAGGACATCTAGTCCAACCCCCCTGCACACGCAGGGTCACCTAGAGCATGTGGCACAGGACTGTGTCCAAGTGGGTTTTGAAGATCCCCAGAGAAGGAGACATGCTGTGAAGTTTGCAGAAACGCATGAGCTGGAAATGCAAAATTTCTGTAGCAGTCACTTCGCGTCCCCCCACGGCCGCGCAGAGCCCGGCCGCCCCCCTGGCTCACCTGGACGAAGCTCAGGAACTGCGTTTGCAGCAGGCGCTTGGCGTCCCCCCGGCCCAGCTTGCCGCGCGCGTCCGCAGCGTTGCTGTACACCAGGGCGGCCGTGGCAAAGGCCTTCTCCAGCTCCGAGCCTTTCCGCAGCGCTGCGGCAGAGACAGCGGCACGGCCGGCATTGGTGGTGGAAGTGAAGGGAATCCATCAGAAACGGCCCGAACGGTTGGAAATTGGGAATTCACTTTAGTGAAACTCCTTTTACCCACAGAGCCTGGCTGATGCTTTATGTGAGGGGATCAGTGATGCACTGTGTGTTCCAGAGCCCCCACAGGAGGCTTTTGAGCCCAGCAAATTCCCAGACGAGCTCCTTGGCTTCACGCAAGGGGAGGGTTACACAGCAGAGACCGGCCGTGCTGTGAGCACCGGCCGCCCTTGTCACTCTGTGGGTGCATCTGGGGCAGGCGGCACAGGGACTGTGTCCCCCCAGCCCCCTTGCTGCTTGCACAGGGCTCCAGCGGCTCTGCTAAATCACCCCCATTCTCTGCCATGGGGCTGTGTCCTTTGGAAATCCACCCCCCTGCTCAACGATGGGGCTCCTTACCTTTGATGGAGGCCAGCTGCTTGGCTATGGGTATGCTGGTAGTGAGAGAGGAGAGAGTTAGCGCCTGACGGACGGCACGGGCACACAGGGCTCAATCACCAGGCTCACTTGCTTCCACCTCCATGGTGTAATTCCCCAAAGGAAGAGTGGTAGCTCCACTGCACGGGCAGCGCAGAGCATCCCACAGCTCTGCTCTGAGCTCCAGGGCCCTGGACGCTTATCAGAAAATGTGAGTGGCAGGCAGAGGCATTTCAACAGGTTTTTAAGTTATTTCCCTTGCACCTGGGGGAGCTCCAGGATGGCTACTTTTGCTGAAGCACTGGGAAGGGAACGCAGAGCAGGCCAGGCGCAGCAGGAGAGGTTGCTTTTGGTGGGGATAGACCTGTCCCGCTAACAAAATCCCAAGAGAAACACCAGGTTAATGAAGGCACAAGAAACAGAGCAATCACTTACGGTCTGGGCATGTCCCCTGCTGCTGAAGGGCTCTTGCTGGGCGAAGCAGGAGCAGGGTGGTCCCCGGGGCCATGCGCTGTGCTGGCCACGCTGGCTCTGCAGCCACACATTGTCCCAAGCCCCGGTGTTTGGAGATCTCCAAGCAACTGGAGCAAGAGCAAACAGGCGAGCGAGAGCCCTGCCTGCGAAAGCAGCCTGCCTGCAGCCATACCCTGCCAGCGAGCAGCCCTTATTTTAGGCAAAGAAAATCTAAATGGGACCTGAATCCATGCAGGTAGAACTTTGAATGAGGCAAAATTAAAGCTTTCTACCCATTTAGCTGCACACACGGGCATTTAATGGGCAACCCCCTAGCATGGGTTAGTACCACTTGCTCTGGGCTAGCGAGCGAGCTGTTCCTATAGACCCAAACCGCATGTTCCCCAACCCAGCACGTTCCCGCATCCCTCCCCACCACTGCACCGAAGGGAGCTCCACTCTGCCTCCGACCTGCTAGCAAAACAGCATCCAACAGCGGTGCCTCCATCCCATTTTTTACCCGAATGGATATTGCCTGCTTCCAAAAGCAGCGCTGAGCCATATGGCAGAGCAGTCGCGCGCTAGGGCTGACAGGATCCCTGTGATCTGAGAAATCGAGGCTGATTTAATTCCAGGCTGGTCTGATAGAAGGTGGTGGCTCGAGCTACCTCATCCAGCTCATCGCTGCTGGTGAACGCGTGAAATCCTGATGTCAGAACTACCCAGAAAGAGACTTTATGTAACAGGACACTCAAAGGAGACTGCAACAGATGGCCTAGAGAATTAAAATGTTTTCCTCATTTAGTAGAAGCTAAATTACTGAAGGCTAATGAATAAGGATGTTCACCACCTTACTGTTCCTGTATTTTAATTATCTTAAAAAGCATGGGAAAAGAGAACCTTTAATTTTCCATCTAAGAGTGTCATTACTCAAACAATTCAGAGCTTTTTATTTTTTTTCTGAGAGGTTTAAGCTGTCTTAGATCTCTAGCTTTCTTTGGGGCTGGCTCATGAATAAAACAGAGCCCATAATTGCAGTGACGCAGCCAAAACACATATAATCAATGCTCATTACCCCATCAATTAACACACTAAAATTAAACAAGAATTCAGGCTTAGGAATCTGCTATCAGTCAAAAAAAAAAAAGAGTCTTGGTATCACATTGAAGTGATAACTCCCCTTTACATCTGTTGAACCCTACTAGAGGGCACGGAAAGCCTCGTGTCCGGCTTAATCCCTATGCTTGGTCTCAGCATCGGAGCTGAAAACGAGCGTGAGCTGCAGCGTGTGGTGCTGAGCTACACCGGGACGGCGCCGGGAGCTGGCTCACAAAGCCCGCCTGCCCGCCGCGTTTTGGGTCGCTTCCATTGCAGATCAGGTTTCAGCTCACTTTTCATTTATTTATTTATTCATTTTTCTGTTTTCCGACCCAGCGGACTCCTGGCTTTGCTGGGAAAGCCAGGGCCGCCGTCGGCGCGCTGCCTCCCTGGGACGTGCCGGGCGGCCGGCATCGAGATTCCGGCTCCGTGCATCCACATGGGAACCCGGCCAGCCCTCGAACCTGCCAAGGCGTGCCGGGAGGAGGCCATCTGCTCCATAGCTATTTCGATGCCTTCTATTTATGCTGGAAATAGCCAGGTGCTCTTCTCAGACAGCTTTCAGCTGCAACATCCTTATTATGGCTGCTCGTGCTGCAAAAATCCACCAGTGCCACCCCATTTTGGGGTATTTTCCCGGAGCCTTTCCTCTCCTCCTCCTCCTCACTTGACTTCTGCAGCTCAAGGAGACCCATGTTTCAGAAACACCAGGTGGGTGACAGCCTGACCCCCTCTGAGATGCCCCGACCACCACGGCAGAGATAGAAGCCTGAACTTTTTGTGAACAGACTGCTAATTTTGAACTTACATGGCAGGGTTTTGGTTCAAAAAAACCCACTGAGCCTGAGAGGCCCCCCAACTGCATCCTCTTAGCCCAAAGCAGGCCTGGTGACTAAAGCTTGATGCTATTTTCCTCTTGCTTCATCCTCTTAAAATCAGTTCCTTAACAGCGGAAAGCAGGGGGAAAAGGGGAAAAATCAGTGTGCTCAACCTGCCAGCGCCAGCAGAAATCTGCGGTGCCTTCAGCACTGTCCATCCTCCTCCCCTTGAAGACAAGGAGATGCATCTGTATGCATCAAAAACTACAAACTTTCCAAAGAACTATGTGAGACAGAGAATGTAAGAAAATAAATGAGTAGCTAAATGCTATAAAAGGAATACTGCTCCCACTCTACTACTAAAACTTCATACCAAAATACTAAGATCTTCTTGGAAGACTTGATGAATGAGGAAAAGCAGCACACGATTTTAATACTGAAGTGCAGATTATTGCTGCTCTTAGAAAATTCTCAGAGAAAAAGCTCTAGGCTTTAGTAGAAGGAAAGAATAAAAAGTAATCCCGAAAAAAGAATAGTTAAGTCAGACAGAGCATAAGCTAAGCAGCCCATCAGTTCAGCTGAATAAAGATTTTGACTTAAATCTGTCTTAAAACTAGTAGTCAGAAACTAAATCCTTATAATATGATGTGGCACAATATGAGAAGATTTTTTTTCTGAAAAGTGTGAAATAACATGACTTTTTTTTTCCTTTTTTTTTTCTTTTTTTTTTTTAAATCTGTAATATTAAATGCGAAACTCTGGAGAGAGTGTGTCAGGAGCAGACTATAGGCAGATGCAATAAATGTTGCATGTGGTTGTCTCTTTCATCAGTACATCAGAGATTCGGCCAGAAATAATTCAGGGTTGGGGCTCTATTTGCTCATTCAAATTCAGAGCATATGCAAATTAGAAATCAATGGGAAATAATTAAGTCAGGTTAGACAGTCATAATACAAATTCATGCAACAAACTCTCCTTAAGTCCTGGTCATCACCAAGGCTCTGCGTTATGGGAACCTTCATGGCCACAGAGGGGATACAGTCAGTCATCATGAAAGTACAGCAAACTAAAAACAAAAATATCCAGTCGAGGAGGAGCACAGTCCTATGGGCTGGATAAACTTATCCTCATGGTCTTGATGTGCCAGGCAGGAAGAAAGACCCCCCTTGGCTGGGGACAGGCCTGCTGTGCAAGCAGAGGTACCAGCTTGCTCTATGTGCGGGGACTTGTCAGTCACCTCAGCACTCAGCTGTGGATAAGTCTGAGGAAGCATCTGGACAACATCTCCCAGAGGAAAGGATGGGAGATGGGAGAGCAGGCCCTGTGCTCCTGTCTCCCCATCGCACCAGGTTCCTGCCTCCCCATCACAGCTACTGCCTTGGCAATGCACATGTGCTCCCATCCAGGGTAGCTGAGAACTGGGCTATAAAGAGAAACACATGGGAAAACAGGAGGGCCAGCACACAAGATCAAGGAACATTTTTTTTTCTAGTCTGACCTAGTTATTTAGCTAACTGGCAGAGATACTCACTAATGATGAAGCAGGAGAGCAATCAGTCTGCCAGCAGCAGCTTCACAGAGGATGCTAGCATTTATTTAGCTGTTTGTCTTAAAACTGGGAAACATCAAATACAGTCTTTTTATTATTGTTACTTAATATTTTGCTACACAGTCACTATTTCCATCTCAAATAAGCTTCCAATTTCTCAGTGATTACAGAAGGATGTGATAAGAATTGAATTCAGAGGAACACAGAGGAAATATTCAGAAATATTCCCTTATGTAACTCGGGCAAGCGCACATACCATTTTTGTTTTCACTTTTGCTCCTGCCATATTATATCAATCAGAGATGCTAAAGATGAAGAGTTTTCATCCCTCCTAACTCACAGCGAAGACTATTGTGCCCGAAGGTTATATCAGATAATGATCAGCTCACTGGCACTACGTGGGGTGAGGAGAATCTGTACCTATTGAAGGCTTTCGTACTGAATAAAGCAAAGTGCAATTCTTTTCTGAAAAATGTGTCCTTTTTTCTGTAAACTTTTCCAGTAGTCCTGTTTTTCATGAGGAAATCTGTGCTTTGTCTTGAAGTTAGACAAACAGTACTCGAAATAAGGTATCTTTCTAAGTCAGACCCTAAGCTTCTATCAGGAATTGCCTCTGCTTCCCTCCAGAGAGGTCAACTCCGGAAGTTGAGGAAGCTGCAGTTCTTGTGCTCCTGCAACGGCACAAGAATTTCAGCTTGCTTGAAATACAGGAAAAAACCTAAGCAAGACTCAGGTTTCTAACCTTCATCATTGCATAGAAAAATTCGGAAATATGACCCTGCTGATGTAGGGGGATAAGTTGATAATAGATAAACAGATCACACAAAAAAACCCACATGCTTCTAGTGGAGAGGCCTTAGTGGAGATAACTTGGGATATCTCTGATCAACTAATACAAAGCAAACTTCTTTCAAACAGAAATGATTGTGGAGAAGTGGGACTAAGTGGGCCTGGGGGCATGAAGAACACACTTCCCACCTCCTTTCCTGCTCTACTTGCACAGATTTCATTTTGTGATGGCTTGTCTATATTTAGCGTTTTCCAAACATGTTAAAAAAAAAAAAAACATGGAACAAAAGAATTGAAAAACCACTTTTTCATTGACCTGGGTTTTCATTTGACCTGGAATACAAGGACATCTAGATATTCAGGCTTGTCCTTTCTACAAGCACTAGACAAGGCTTTCCAGCAATCCCTGGCACTCACTAGTTAGGACAGCACTGGGCTAATTTTACTGACAGTTGGAGAAAGAGGTGAACAAAGCAGGCAGATTCTAAATTACAAAGATTTAAATGATTTTCGTTTAAACTGATGATACTGACCTTTAATGACAAGTGTCTGCAGATGTGTCACACTTCATGGTACATTAAACAAGTGTTGGAAGACGGCAAAATTTTAACTGATATGGTCAAGCACAGGAGAATACCCTACCCATCTTTTTGGTTATTTTACACTGACGTTTTAATACTACCATACTCTTAAAATATGAATTGTATGCAATAACTTTATTAGGGTCAAATAGATATCACAATATAGATTCATCCACCGAGTAGCCATAAATTGGTTACAACAATCATAGAAGAGACTAAGCCATTTTAAGCTAAGATGCTTTCAACATTACAGCTCATACAATAAGATTATATACTGATACACTTTTATTTAGAAATGCAGATGATCAGTTTTGATTAGTTTATTGTGCTTCAGGCTTTAAATTGTGTTAGAAAACTCGGTGCTGCAATGGAGCCCCTAAGCTGTTGTAAGGGAGGGCTCAAATCTCCAGGGATAAATGTTTATGGGATACAAGTCTGGCCCTGGCTCGGTTGTTTTAGGATAAATTCCTTTGAACCTGGGCTATTTGGTCAATCTGGTTACATTCTCTGATAGCACCAAGCTAGTGCTCAGGGCAGCAGTGGGACAGAGGGATACCTGACAGCTCTTAAGCAGCATGGATAGAAAGATTTTCTTTTTTTTTTTTTCCCTCCTCTATTAAAGGAGGGCATAAAGGAATATTTAGGCTTTATAAAATAACAACAATATGTGCATTTTTTTCCTGTTTTGCTGTGTTAAGCAATGGGGTGTTTTCACACGGTTTTCTGTACTGATATCTGCACCTCTGTTATCTTAGTTAAATAAATACCTTTGTAAACATATAACACAGTTACTTGGTCCTTATTCTTCACAGCTCACATTAAAAGATTCACAAAACACCCATAGAAATAGTGATTTATAGAATGAATACTTAGCTTAGTTAAATAGAATAAACATTGGTCAGGTACCATATATACTACTGAATGCCATTTCAAGGAAAAACATTTTAGTTACAAAGCATTCAGAACTTGGATAAGCCATATATTCAACTCTGTGAAATATATAAAAGATGCATACTTCTTTTAAACATACATTTAACAAAATGCAGTGGCAGAAGTTGAGAATTTCCATTTACACAGTCCAAACATTTGGTAGTAATAAACTGGTTATCCATGCACTAAATTACGGATGACTTGATTATTTGAAATAATAGCGAAATCTTCTGAAACAAAAAATATAATCAAAACAAATGCTCTGAAGAGTCACAGACAGGCAGTTTTGAAAATTTAGGAGCAATGTTACATGCATGGATATACAGAGTAATCTGTAGAAATAATAGCAAATCACTTTTTTTTTTTTTCTCCACAAAAATGCAGAAGGAAATCCAATTATCCTATGCATATTAAATACTACAGACTTGAGGCTACGAAATGCTTCTACCATCATTACACATACAAAACTACCATAATGTTATCTCTACGGTACATACTACAGCACTGACTCCAGGCCACCACCTGTGACGAGCACGTCTGCCACATCGGGCTAGGCAGGGACGAGGTGCCACCTCCGGCTCACCAGCCAGCTCTGGAGGCACCTCTAGATCTTCAGCTGACATGAAACACTGTGTTGTAGTATGGATTTAGACCCCCCAAAAAGCCTGGCACCACTGAAACAGAGACCTGCGAAACTCTCTACGCGTGAGGGCTGTGCTAGATTTGGTTGGCGAAGGAGGTCGGGCCGCCCTGGCCGTAGCCCTGCTGCTGGCCATACTCACCCACCTGGCCATAGGTGCTGGGCTGGTTGTAGCCACCTGTGGGCCCGTAGCTGTCCTGGTTGTAGCCGCCCTGGCTGTAGCTGCTGGACTGCTTCTCCATGGTGTCCGCGGGGTGCCGCTGGCCTGACGAATGCCAACCCGTCTCCTTAAAGACGAACCAAATGTTGCCTGCCCAGAGGATAAAGTTCAAGAATCCAAAGACCTGCACGAGATAAAAGGCAGCGTGTCACCCAGGCACCGTGGTGCCACGGCCCGACCGAGTCTGCTGGGTCCTGTGGGCACTGGGAACACTCCTGCTGTGTGGGGCTGCTGCAGGAGACTCCACAAAGCCACCCCATGTAGATACTTCACTTGGCAGATGCAACTATGTCCTGTGCTAGCTGGCTGCATTGTCACCACCCAAGGAAGGCCATGATTGACTCCAGAGACCACCTGCAGAGCCCTGGCTCTGCTGGGAGCTGTGCTGAATGGGGCCCTGGAGGTGAAAAACCTCCTTGATTGACCACAGAAGATGGCAAGATATGGCTGAAGTCAGACAAGACAAGACTACAACCACCACAATGCAAGAACAGTGAAGCACATCTCTTGGTCCAGGAAGCCAGCAAGGTGAAGTCTGCTGGCATCTCAGAAGAGAAAATGCTCGATGGAGGAAAGTCCCCTGAGTTTCATTGCCCTGAGAGTGCAACCACATACCTCCTCATCAATAAGTGGCAAAAATCCCCTGAGCAACACTTCAAAATTTATTAGGTGACTGGACACCCAAAGGGACATCAGATTGCAAAGGAACAAATGGACACAGGCCACTGAGTAAACAATTCTTTTTATCTTATTTTCTTCTTTAAGGGAAGAGATGTTCCTGCTTTTTTTTCCCCCCATAATCTAAAGAAACTTTGCAAATATAAAATTTAAAGAAAATATTTTAAAAGAGTTAAACAGATTGCTTAGCTGTCCAGAGTATTTTTAAGTCATTGCTTTTGGTTTTAGTTTTGAAGACTATTTTTTGTTGTTCTTTTTGAGGATTTTTGAAGAGAACACAGAATCCTTTTCTAAAGCTCTGCGGTGTAAATTAAAAGTAAACAGGCCAAACAGTGAACTTGAAAAGACAATTTGCTTTCTCCTAATCCCAAAGCATCCGCTTGCCCTAACGCTGCAGCTAGCTAGAGAGTTGCTATGGGTCAGACTCTACTTTTCCCTTCACAAAGATTACAGGTAAACCCAGTTAAAACATCAGCTAGTTAGTTTACACCAGTTGATTTAGGTCAATAGAGAGCTCCAAAGAAATGAAGATACATTTGCAAGGGAACAGCAGAAAGCAGAGATCAAATTCACTTACAACCGAAGTGTTCAGGCTCGACATAACCGGGCTGCGGACAGGCAAGCATTTGTTGGACTGCTGTTTGCAGGCTGACATCAGTAATAGAACTTCATCAGGATCCGTCGCAATTTTCACATCCGACAGTCCCTTCGCCCAAGCAGATGAGCCCACGAGCCACAAGAAGGAGAAGACCACGGTCACAATGAAATCCTGAAAGACAAATGAGTTAGGAGCATTATACTGCTGTGTCACCCGAGAAGAAAAACATTAAAAAAAAATCACCAGAAAACAAAAATCTTGCATCTGAGGAGAGGAGAAACAAGAGCTCATAATTTCCTAATAGATCGTGGTTACTGTCATGACCTGCAATGACGGTTTGCAGAAGGGCTTGACATACCCAAAGGGCCAGAGCCCGGCTGTGCACATCTGGAGCTCTGACCCTGGGAGAGAATACTACCAAGGGCTGAGCTACCTTGAAATGTCCATGATGCCCAGCTACTGCACTGGGAGCCAGTTCAGATGTTGTTTCAATGCCTGGGAAGGTGATAAGCCCTCCTGAAGGCCGACCCTCCTACCCACAGCCAGCATGGGCTTCTGCTGGAAAGCATTTCCACAAAGATCTGCATCTCTGGCAGAGCCCAAAACCGGCTAATCCCCAGCTACCAGAGGCCAAACATCCCCAAGAGCACGAACTGCACAACCACCAATTATCAGGAACAAACAAACAAGCAGAAAGACCTGCCAAGCCCAGAGACTCTTCAGCTCTTCTCTCCTCCATAATGCATTTCTAGCTCCCATCCTCACAAGACCCAAGGAGAACGTGTGGCACTGCCTCGAGGATCTAACAACCGCAAGTATCTCTACTCTGAACCACTCTGCTCACTTTTCCCTCGGAAGGCTGTCAGGAGCGCGCACATGCAGAAACTTCTCCTCATCGCGGCCAGAACAAGTGGCCAAATGACACCGTTGTTGTGTGGGCTTGGGGGGAAAGGAGGGAGGAAGTGTGATTTTTCAAGCTTTCTTGTGTCTTGCTAAAACAGAAGAGCCTTTCTACTGTCGTATTTCATCCCATCTGTCAACCCACAGCAGATGGTCGAGGTGCCAAAGTCTAACATGCCACTAACTGCATCACTGTGTCTTGATATCCCATCTCCCGTGGAGGCTCCTCTTGCCCGCCCTTTCCCCCTACAAAGGGGAGGCACATGGAAAAAGAAAACGTTTGTGAAGATGATGGTGGGTTGGGTTGCCAGCCAAAGAAATAAACCATCTTAGGGAACCCAATTCTCGTCTACAAACACACCCTATGTTTCCCTTGATGGAAGACACAAGGCAACGAGCTGGCCCCATTGCAAGGGGCAGACAAAGGATTTCTCCGCTCACGCAGATGGGATTAACTGCGCTTGGATGCTATCCTGAGGAATAAGTCATTCCCTTTGAACGGGGTCACTGCCTATTTCCTACGGGCTTGTGTCTGCCATGGAGCCTTGATTTACTCTGCCCTCACTTTGCGCTATCTAAATGGGCGCTCTCAAAGAGCATGCTGCAAAATGCAGGAACTGACATCTCTCCTAAAACCTAAAGGGACTCAATTTAGACAGAGGCATAGAGCCCAGAGTACATTTTCTTATCAGGGAGATTTCCAGCCAAAGAAATTACCGTATGCTAAAAGTTTCAGCAGTAACTGAATGAGAAATGAGCTCCTAGAGGCAACAGTTTAATAGTAAATATTTTCCTAGAAATTTCAGCTGGTAGAAATGTCAGATATTCTCTAAGCTGAGAATTACGATGATGCATGCTTATTTACCAAGAGGCTTGGGACCCGAACACCAAGCCTGTATATAGGTTTACCCTGATGCTGAGACTGGGACACACCAGAGGTTTGGGGAACACATCTTGAAAGAGATCATCGAGACTTTCTCAACGGAACCCAACTGCAAAGCTTTGCAAGCTAAATCAAGCTGGGGAGTCAGTGCCTCTGACAATAACAGCAAGATAAATAAATGGCAGCAGAAAGGAATTTGAGGCAAATAGATAAATTGAGCAAAACTAACACAATACAGAAGACTAATCTTACTAAAAAAGGAAAAGCTTAGAAGTTAGTAAAGTTCATCAAACAGGTGACAACAACAGGGGATTTTTGAACCCAATACCAAGCTCCTAACCCATCCGGCAGCGGGTTAAATCCTGCCTTTCCTCCAGCAACATTTGTGAGCAGAGTTACCGGCATCTCCGGGCAGCAGGTGCTGACCCCAGCGATGCAACTGGAAGAATTTGTGTTGTAGTTCAAAAATTGCAGGTTCATGTTGTCATGAGCCATGGTGGAGCAAACACACATCCTTCTGCTTTAAGCTGGCAAAAGCAAATTTTGGATGTAGCAAATTCACTTGAAATGATTCTAGAAGAGGCAGAGAGGGACGTTAGGACCTGGGTATCTGAGTGCAAACGAAGAAATCCTACCCAATTTTAACACACTTGGTAATGTAGTTCCAATCCATCTCGGTGAAGAATTTGTCTACTTATCTAACTATGATTCTGGGGACAAAGTCCATCCGGGTGCAGGGGACAGTTCACCCAAGTGGAAAGGAGGGCTGTCAGACAGTAGGACTTGGAAATAGAAACCATCTACCCCCTCCAAAAGCCAGAGGCTACAACCACTCCCCAAAAGAGGTTACAAGGCCAAGAGTTTGTCAAAAAGACTTAACCAAAAGCCTAATAAAACATGAGGATTATTTCAGTGCGTACTTTCATCAAGGTTACTGGCCTGCATTCAGGCTCTTTGAGGATTTCTACCATTTCCTTCTTTCCCCAGAAAGAAATGGCACTATGCACAGAGCAAAATCTAGGACTAGAGTAAACTTGCATCTTCCTCTTTATTTTGAATCTTTGCTAACCTTCAAGCCTTGGCTGAAACTTGAACCTCTCTTGTTTTCAAGTGAGTTTGGATTTCTGGCTGAACATTTTCACAGCTCTGGGTGGAACAGAGTTACAAGATAATGACATGCTGAAAATAAAAGTGAATTTCAAGCTAAGCTGTTCTGTGGCTTAATGTCTATCTGGGGAATTTCTCCTTGGTAATTAAAGCCAGAGTGCCTGCATACTAAAACAAATCTTGCATTTGAATGTTTAATATCCTCATAGTATGTTTCCCCCCCACTCCTTTGGAACAAAGTAATTTTTGTAGTTGCTGTCTTGAAATGATGTCTACAGATCTCTTCAGTGTGTATTGTTGTCTGGTTACACTGCCCTCCTAATTGCAAAGTTCCTTTTTCAGATTTCAGCTGAGATACTTTGGTCTGCTTGCAGGTGCCTTTGGGAAGGAGGCAAAATACCAACATGTAAAAGAAAGCAGATATCAAGATTGAAAACATACTGTATAACCAAGAAAAGACTTTGAGCTTGGTGCAGTACGCATAGCAAAAAAAAAAAAAAAAAAGGAAAGAAATTCTTACTGCCTTTTTCAAGTTGAAACTTGGTGTTACTGAGTATGCCAAAAATGTCTAATTGGAAGAATTTCATATATTACAAGTCTGTGTATGGAACTGTGAATACTCCTTTTCCTTTCATGATGAGTGTAACATTTCTCTTTGCTATCAAAGCACTAACTTTTGCAAAATTCATATCTTTGCTGGGGCAGTTAAGTGCAGCCCCTTCAGCCTCCCAAGAGCAGTTTTGAGTGCCCCACTGCCCAACACCACCTCATCCAGCCAAAAGGTCTTGGAGGTCTGCATGCTCTTTGACTGCTTGAAGCAACTCAGCCCCAACCCATGGTACTACATGTGTCTTAAGGTGCTCCAGGTACCCAGGGTTTCACTTGAGCACAAGAAAACATGCCAAAACACACAAGAAGCTTCAGCAGGACCCCTCTATGGCCTTGTGTGTCCTGCCATGGTCACTGCTTGCTTTCCCTTCCCTAATAGGGGCAACTGGCAACTTCCAGAGCCTCTCCAAAAATATTTGCTTATGCAAATATCCCCTGCACCTCTTACAAGGTGAGTAGGCGGCTGTCCCAGAGACTGAGTAGGGAAGCAGGTACCTGGGTACTTCACCATCCTCATGTTTTGAGGAAGATTCCACCCTGGATTTTCTGCAGGATGAAGCTTTGAAAGAATTGCACACTTTTAGTTAGTGTTTATGGCCTTGCAAGCTTGTTTTGGCAGGGCTGTGCTGAGCCTGTTGGGAGGCACCAACATGTACGGCAAGATCACCGCAACTCCAAAAGGAGAGGACACAGGTGGGTTGAAACAGCTCTCTGAAAAGCAAAGAGTTCTTCAGGTTACTTGAAGTTTGTTTTCTAACTGAAGATTCAGTCTTTGCTTTATGGGCTTAGACAGCTCTTTATCCCTTTCCTCTGTGTTTGTGGGAATCTTTTGTGTTACTTTCTAGACCAAAGAGGAAGAAATAAGACACCTATAATCAAAGATATCACCAAGAAGAGAACAAGTGTTTGCTTTAGCTGACTTGGTACATCCAACATCTTTAATGTAAGGCTTTAATGTAATTATTCATAGGACTCCAGATGCAAAGGAGAGATCTCATCTCCTTACATGCTAGCATGTTTATGCAGGGTAATCAGATTATCAAGTAATCACTATAAAAATGAAATATCTTTCAGGGCTAAGTCATTCACTTTTACTAAATTGTTTTATGCAATTTATATGAAATCATAAACTTAAAGCTTATTTGTTATTAAGCAACCTTTGTTAATTTGCACTTATCTATTAACTGGAATATTTATCAAGTGATGCATCCTTACACTTAAAATGTATGTGCTTTTTCATAGACAATCTACAGCCCTCCAAAGATGATTTGCTGCCAGAATGCGTGGAGTTCATATATAGAAATGGCAAAGGCGGCAGTAGTCCGAGTAACAAGTACTGATACATATTGACTGTGAATATTCTCTTCCATATTTCCCAGATCCAGACACAAATGGTAACACCTTTCCCATTGAGGGAAAAGCCCCAAATTTAAGCACAGAGCTAAGGCTGGCTGCTCCCGGCTTGCAGGAACCTGAAAATAGATAGATTTGAACTAAGGGAGACACAGATGAGTTGGAGGGCCTCAAGTGCTAATCCCCCAAAAGTGGCATGCAACTTCAGCAAGATATTGCTCACTGAATAATGCCAGTGCTACGAAAGCAGCTGCAGAAGAGTTAACAGCTTCTCCTACTGGAAATATTTCCTTGCATTAGGCCTTATTCAACACTGAACCTTAAAATATCGTTCCATGGTAAAAACGATGACACAGACAAGCCTGTTTCTTTACATTTGTACAAATAGTGTAAGCTTAAGTCATTTTTGGCTGAAATTCTCTCTTCAAGTTTCTTGTGACCAAATGCTCATTAAACTCTTGATAATCATGTAATCAGCATTCAGTCAGGTCTGTTAGACAACTTAAAAACAAAACAAACAAAAAAAACACCAAAAATCCTTAAAGGGTCTCTTTTCCTCTCCCCGTCCCCCAAGAAACAGTAGAGCTGGCAGGTGGGGCTGCCCTCCTGGCAGGCTTAAACCCAGCACAATGGCAGGAGACAGACAGACATCTCTATATGCACACGAAAAAAAGGTAATTTAGCCTTGGCATAGAGATTGGGAAATTGCAAACAGCTTTAGTAACAGACACCCATTAAATTTAACCTGTAGATTCAATTACAGTCCATTACACAGAACAAATTAAATTAATGCCCTGTTGATGCTGCAATGGATTGCAGCACGCATCCTATAACAAACAAGACAGCCAGGACTCTCCTGATCATACTGCTGCAATTACCAGGACAGGTTCAAGCATCCACATCATAATCCAACATATTAGTATTATTTTCCCCCCCTTTCCCTCCCTCCTATTATTTCACAGAAAAATGTGGTTTGCCAAAAAAAGAATTATGTTCCACAAAAAAATTAAAGTGACAGATCTCTGCAACTAATCCTTTGATGAGGCAGTTTGAAAAAGAGTTACTCGATGCCAACTGAATCATGCAGAAAGAAGGCACTTCATTTATTTATTGCTTCTGCAGGGACCCCTTTATCTTGCCTCTCCTATCAGTACTTTTCCTGTGATGATCTCCCCTCTTTTCCCCATCATTTTCCAGGGACAGAAGACCTCCAATACTCCCAAACACTGAAGTTTTATTTCCTTTAAAGTGAAAAGAAAATTTTTATTTCTGTATCAATTTATCATTTTCAAATAATGCAAATTTAAATAAAAGGACTCACATCTCCTTGCAGCAGGAAATTCTCTCCTTTAAAAACCAGGTGATGCTAAGATTACCTTTTTTTCTTTATCATTCACTTACTGTTACTGCAGCCATTTCTTAACAGGTACAGGCTCTTTTGTACTGATGATTTATCCTCCCTTGTAATATGTTTTTCTGCTATTATTTATTGGTGGCTTTCAGCTATTTCCAGAACATGTCTCTAGCGTAACCTTATTCTCTTTTGCCGTGGATGGAGAGCACGATGCAACCCTTCAAGCCTGCATATTTAGAGACCTAACTGAGCTCAAGTGCATCTGGGGTTTAACACAATGCCCTTATCTAGCAAGGCCAAGGGCTGTGTTATGATTCATGATGCTCTAATGGTTAGTGGAAACAGAACAAGTAACAGACAGATTTTACAGCCTTGATTTATAAGAAAATGCCTAAATAGGAATTGCTTTTTAGCATGAACTTTTAGGAATCAGTGAACAGCAAAGGAAAGGCACAAGCATGTCTTTGCAAGGGGGAGGTGAGGAAGTTCATGGACCAGTGTCATGCACCAGCAGACACGTGAATGTGCTGCAGCTCAGGGTAAGTCCACAGGAGCTGCCACGCGATGCTCCATGGCCACCTTTCCAAACCATGGGAGCTTCGCTAACCCCAGGGTTAATGAGCAACACGCAGCATTCCTTGGGTCAGGGCACCATTTCACCCACCCACCGGGCGAATGCCTCCCCACTTCCTGCCTGCTGCCCAGCCACCCTTGCAGGAACATGGTGGTAATGGGTTTATGGTTGCCTCAATCCTGAAGGCCTTTTCCAACCATAATGATTCTATGATTTTATGAATATTACCCCACGGCAGGAGCTGCCAGCAAGCAAGGAGTTAAATCCAGGGACACATTTGCTCTATTACTATTGGTGCTGGGTGCTTAAGTTCCCATTAAGCACAGAAATGGCACACTTACAATTAGAGGCCCCCGGTTGTTCTCACGGTACTTGTTCTGGAAGAAGATATAAACGACGGTGGCTGCCAGCGAGTAGAGGAAGGCGAAGACTGCAATGGTGACGAAGAACTCCGCCGAGGAGGAGAAGTCCCCGATTAAGGAGAGCTTTTCTCGGCGTCTGCCTTCACAAGTGGGAGCATCGAAATTCACCTGGTGCAACCTGGAAAACAGCCCAAAGAGAAGCTGAAGCAGAGCAGCAGGAAACCATTACCTGAATAAAAATGGAGTTACATTTGGCCCGTTGTTCCATCTCACTCCTGAAGTGCATTAGTCTCCTGCAAAAAACACAAACAGACCCTATAAGCCATGAGCTTCCATACCCTTCAGAGCTGCTGATGCACATGAGGTTACTTTTGTGCAGGTCAAGAACTGAGACGCCAATTACATCTTTTAATCACTCCTTTAACCAAACTCAGAAAGAAGCTGATGTGCCAGGGGTTTGGCACAACTCCTTTCCTTTATGGGGCTTTGCCTTGGCAAAAGCCAAAAAAAAGAGAAAATAAAAAATATGATCTGATTCTCAAATTCTTATAATCAAGAACACAGCAAACAGGTCATATCCTTAAAGCCATGGGATGCCTGTGTTTGGAAGTACAAAATTTTGACTTTTGTGTACACTCTGTACTCTGTGGTTCTGCCTGGCAGTTCCTGCCAGACCTTTTTTCACCCTAATAATTGCAAGTTCTGCTTTGGAAAGAGAGAGGGGCTCCCTGGTGGCCTCCTGTAGCTGGTCTTGTTGCATGGTCCAGGTGACCCTTGGCAGCAGGTGGGTGGTGCTGGGGAGCATGTTGTTCTGCTCTATATACAGAGCGAAAGGGACAAAAACAGCAGAAAGGTAACAGCAGCAATTAAAAAAAATATATGCTTTGGTGCTGAGAAAGGCCGAGGCCACCTGGGAGACATTCCTCTGCTCAAGGGTAATTAATGTGTGGAACAGCAAGTCAATGGAGGCAGCAGCCATGAATATATGACTAAATAAAAAAGTTAGATCCCTAGAGGAAAACAAAGTATCTGCAGTAGAAAGCATGCAAGATGGATTAATGGGCATTGGAAAATTGCTTGGCTTTTTGCTTTTCCTAGTCCATACTAAAAGTACCCAAGTGAGCAGGCAGAGCCTCTTCATCAGTGGCTGATGCATAACATGAGCTACTGGCCTTGGGCACCTCCTTCTCTGAGCTTCTGCTGCTATAGAATCCGTGGGATTAAAGCACGAAATGTGCCCACCTGGACTGCAACACTTGGAGATGAGCAGCACCTGACTACGCTCTCCTACAACCACAGCAGTGATGAAAACTGAACACATGAGAGACTCTAATGCTTCTGAGCATAATTAGACTGTTTCCTGACTTGGTTTCAAAAGCTTCCTGGCATTAATGTGCAAACATTTTTCATTATTGTTATTACGGTCCTTTCCAAAAGGAAAGCAAGAGGATTTCTTAGTGTCTGTCCTTCCAGTTCTGCAGTATGGGGAGAAAGCAACTGGCTGTAGCCACATAAGACACACATGGTAAGAAAACTGTTTCCTAACTGAGGCTGCTTTCCTTTTCTATCCTTTATTCTTCTGACTGCATCTTAGTTCTGCATCCTAAACAGGTCGGAATAAGTATTCATACATTATATTAACATCTAATTCATGCATCCTGCCAGCAGTGCTTTTCTGGCCAAGCATCTTTCAGGGCTACCAAACACATCAAGCCTCCTCCCATAACCTTATTTTTATTCACTAGCTTTTCTTCTTAGGTTTCTCTAGTCTCTATGAGGACCCGCAGTAACTGGTGCCTCTCACGGCCACCTCACCTCTGCCCAAGCAGGGATGACCTCAGTCTTGCAAAGAGGTGGTTCAAGTGATGACTTGTTGAGAGGCACTCAAAGTTTCTTTAAAGTAGGATAGGATCAACGAAGGAAAGTCCAACTTTATTAATCAAAGCCAATCCTCTTTGATCTGTAAAGGCATCACCGAGAAAGCTCTGATTCTCCCACAGATCTGCTGCTGACTCAGGCTTCTGGGGGCAGGATTGCTTGGGCATGACTCACAACAACCTCATTGCCTTCAACTCTGTCTGCCTCTTTTGATGTAATCCTACCTGGCTTGCATTTTATTTCCTCTCACCTCTTCTTTCATCTTCTCTTATCTGCTATTCCCTACCCCCCACCCTTTTCTTCAGATCATCCAGGACCTATACCTTCCTTCTGCTGCTTTTCTACATCTGAATTTAATCTTTGCTTCTCCATTTCCTAAATAAAATCATGAACCCCAAGAACAACTTATTGCAATCCTGCCCTTGGCACGTATTTAACACATGAGCAACACGTTTAGGCTGCATTGCCAGAAGTGATTTTCACTGATTGATTGACAACACAAATAGGATCACTTCAGTCATAAAGTTAACCAATTGGGGGGAAAAAAGTGTCATTGAAAGCCTCCCACCTCTCATCAAGGATACCAAAATGCTCCTCAGGAAGTGAGGTGTGACAGTGCTTTTTGCCTTGTGCAAAGCTAAGCACTGTTATTAACTCGGAAATAAAACCGATGACTCAATAGGACCTTGCCCTCCACCTCCACACAGCAGTGTCACAGCCAGCCTTGCTAGTGCCTCCGTGCCCAGGGCCAGCAGCCCCGCTGGACTTTCCAGCCCTGAATTCCCTCAAATTGATACAAATCTGATAACACTGATGAAGTCACGGCCATCGGAGGCTCGTGAGGTTTCTCCTACCATTTGGCCAGCTCTCTGTGGCTGTGGGAAACACAATGATGAGACAGCTGTGTTGTCTGGCTTGACAAGAGCAAAAGAGGGCAGGAATGTTTCTAAGGAAAAGAAGGATTTTTGCATTGTTCCACAATTGCAAAGAACAGCTTCGTTTTCAGACACTAATTGCCCGCACTTTGGAAACAACAGAGCCCAACACGCTCGGAGGCTGCAGCTGCGCTGGGGAGCAGAAGTTGCACACACTGCCTGTAAACACGACCTTGCCTGTACCTCCTGCTGGTTCCTCACTGCAACATTCAAAACATGATTTGCTTTTAATTATGGCCTTTCTTTGGACTGGTTCGGCCGCCACGATGACCAGAGAGCACAGAAAGAGTCAAGCACCGTCTTGTCCCACATCCCATTGCCACCAGCCCACACAGGACCTAAGTACAAGGAGAGCACACAGAGTGATCCCTCTGTGTGGACCATGCCAGACATCAATACTCATGGATTTATGGACTCACAAACACCATTGAAGAGCCACCATGAAACTGTCCCCTATTAATTCATCTAATCTCTTTTGATTTGGGAAATCTCTTCCAGCACACACAAGCACATGCTTAGCCTTGAAACCAAAATACCATGTAGACCAAAAGACCAAATAGACCATGAATAGATACATCCACGTGCATAGGTATTACTGATTACTGACTCAGATTTCTTCTTCCAGGCTTTCATCAGTGCCAGGCTTAATAAAATACAAATTTTGCCTCAAATTTCTGAACGGGGGGTAGTATTTCTCCACTTGCTTAGTAGGATGTGGTGAACAAACAGGCAAGAAAAAACCTATTTTGGCAAGCTGTCCTATTTTCCAAAAATAACATCTTGTAATCTATCCCTACACCTGCCTCTGACATCACACTATACACAACACCCACACACGTGCTTGTGAGAATTCAAAGACCCATTACCCGCTCACTCGGGCTTTCTTTTCCCCTCATTTATTCCTGGTATTCGCCACTGTCAATTGTATTTACCATCTGCAAAGCAAGCGAGCGGAGAAAGTCAGTCCTGCAAATTCATTACTGCAGGTAGCGCCCGTGGAAGAATTTGTGGTGAAATGTTTATCTTGGTTGGTAATCTTCAACATGAAGGGTAAATGGGATTTTCATATACAGGAGCAAAATGCTGAAAGGAGCAGAAATAGGGGCCCTATAGCTAGCCAAATCATGACAGTAAGACAGGAGGACACGACAGCTTTCCTGCCTGTTCCTGGGGTTCAAGGCATCTGTATTTTCAGCATTTATAAGCATCTTCCAGAAACTCCCTTGGGATCTGAACAGTTGTATCCAGTATGACAGGATTTTTTTTTTTAGGAGAGAAAACTACCATTTTCTTTTCTTCCTGCCCCTCACCTTTCCCCAGCACCTTCAGCACCTTTCTCTGCTTCCAAGGCAGCAGAATGAGCCTTGGCACATCAGCCTCTATCACACAACTATTGCTGCTAAATCAGCCCATTTCTCTCTGGCAACAGGAAAAAAAGATAAAGTGCTCCAGCTGACCCAGCAATTCAAGTTTGGTCTGTTGTTTCTCTCTGTATTTTTTTTTTCTCCAGAGAAAGAATATTGTTTGCTGATCAAAGAGCACTCGGTTTGAAATTTCTGTCTTAGTGAAATCTCCCAGTTTCTTCCAAAAAGACATCACAGATCTTTCTAGAACTACTCAACATTATACCCCTCAAACAAGAACACACTGGAACTTGCAAACTTTTATTCCTAACTTCTGCACAGGACATTTGAACATCCTAGAGATGTGTCCTGTCTCAGAGCTTCCTGCAGTGGTTGGTACAGGGATGTGCCTTGCTCAGATGCAAGGCAAAATCCCATTCGGAGCGAGTTCAGAGCAGGCATCGCAAAGAAATGCAAGAGAACTAGCCAGAAAAGTCATAGCAACCTATATTCTCTCCCAGGTACATCCGATAAAAAAATACATACACATTTTTCCCCTCTCACGTTTTTCAATTTAACTTGCTCGGTTAGCAAGTTAGCTGTTGTGCAAACATTTGGCCAGTGCTGTTTTGCTACAGGTTTTTGCAAGGTTTTTAATAGGACAAGCTGTCAGCCACAGTTGCTGTCTCAGGCCTCCGCACTGCACACACGGCGCTGGGAGAGGTGGCGAGTCCCCCGCGCTGCCAAGTGTGACAAGACACACTCCATCCCATCTTTGTGCGCCCAATCCTCCTCTTGCACCTCCTCTCCCATTAGCTGGAGATCTCCCAGGTCTGCAGGAAGCAAAGCACCAAAACCTTTTTGAGGATGGGGTCTAAACTCCCTGGGATAAGGGAGAGCTGCAGCACGGCAGAGCCATTGCTCAGTGGCAAGGAGGGAACAGCAGCTGTACCTGCAGCTTGCAGCCTTTTCTCTGCAAACGTCTTTGCAAAGCTCTTGGAAAACAGCCTTTTCCCATGCTT